GCATGGCCAGTCACAAAGCACCTGTTTCGCAGAAGGTGATCCAGTAAGACTGCAAGGCCAGCAGGCAGTCCAAAAAACTGAATGTAAGGCAGAGGAGCACTCTGGGTCTCAGAACACATCCCCACTCCATTGAACCCAGAGTGAACCACTCCATACCAAATATGTATTTCACAGAAATCCAAATAGCTGAGATTCAAAGGTAAACTACTCAAACACCCACCTGCACAGAAAATACACATGCACAATATACCCCTTGCTCCTGCCTATGCCGTCCCCAGCTCTCCTGCTGAACCTCAGTCCTTGTGCTGTCCTCCACTGCATAGGAATCCTTGTGCTCAGCTCAAGCCTCTAATGAAAGTGAGCACCAGACAAGCCTGAAGCCTCTTCATGTTCCCTGGATCACTGAGACCTCACATGTTGTTGCTATGTGCTGTCAAGTCAACTCCAACTTATGACAACCCTAGGAAAGAATGTCTTCCCAAATGTCCTGTATTTGATAGCCCTGCTCAGCTCCTGTAACCTCAAGGCTGTGGCTTCCATTATGGAATCAATCCATCTCATGCATGGTCCTTCCCTTCTTTTTCTGCCTTCTGTTTCCCCAGCATTATTGTCTTCTCCCATGAGTTGTGCCTGAAGTGATGTGATATGCCTGAAGCATGATAGCCTCTGTTTCTTCATTTTGTCAGGAATCAAGGCTCCTTCACTAGTCTCGTCTCCCAGCAATGCCAAAGCAGGAATGGTCAAAGCTGAGACACTAGACTAAGGTGCATCTAAGCCTTTTAGAAGTAATGGTCATCAGTGGAAAGAAATGGATAGCTCTAATCTGCTGCGCCTCAGCCTACGCCGCACAGACCGCGCCGCTCCGCGCCGCGCCGCCCGCCATTCCACCACCCACCTGGCTGCTCTGCCACGCCCCTGCACGCGTTCGAGGCGTGCCGGCCGAGGCGGGGTGTCGGGAGCCCGGTGGCTTGAAAGCGCCGGCGGCGGCCGGGGCCGGTGGCCGAAGGGCGTCGGCCAAAGGGCGGTCACCGCCGTTTGGGGGGGCCGAGTGGGGGGCTGGGCTGGCCAGGGGGCTTTCACTCTCGTTGTGTTAGGCCCTCCTGCTGAGCGCTGAGTTTTTTAAATGTTTTTATAATTTTGTAGTGTTTATATTGTTTTATGGAGTCGTCCCTGGCCAGGCTGCCATTTGCATTTCCTGGGGAGTGCACCAGCGCGGCCATTGGGGTCGTGATGGGCAGAGGACGTAACAGCGGTGGGAGCTTAACGTGTCCGCATAGAAGAAGGAGGGACAGATGGCTGACACCTGTCCCTACTTCTGGTTTTGCTCCCAGCCAGAGGGTGCCAGGGAGTCTTGTCAGTCGCCCCTCGGGCCTGACGGTGCTGTTGCTTAATGCCAGGTCGGTCAATAACAAATCTGCCCTCATCCATGACTGGATTGTGGATGAGGGGGCCGACCTGGCCTGCATAACGGAGACCTGGGTGGGAGGGGGGGGATGTCGCCCTCTCTCAAATGTGCCCGCCCGGGTATCTGGTCCAGCACCGTTCACGGCCGGAGGGGAGGGGAGGGGGGGTTGCTTTAGTTTACCGAGCCTCCATCTCCCTCACAGGACTTCCTGTCCCTTCGAGACCAGGGCTGGAGTGTCTCTACTTGGTGTTGGGCGACCGAGACAGATTGGGGATTCTGTTGGTGTACCGTGCACCCTTCTGCCCAACAGTCTCCCTACCTGAGCTGACGGAGACGGTCTCGGACCTGGTGTTGAGGACCCCCAGGATGTTGGTCCTGGGGGACTTCAATCTCCATGCCGAGGCTAGTCTGACCGGGGCGGCTCAGGACTTCATGGCCTCCATGACAGCCATGGGGCTGTCTCAACATGTCACCGGCCCGACCCATGAACGTGGACACACTCTGGACCTGGTTTTCTCGACGGGGCAGGAAGAGGGTGGTCTGAGGGTGACGAATTTATGCTTGACTCCCCTGTCATGGTCAGATCACTTCCTGGTGAGGTTTGTGCTCGAGAGTGATCTCTCCCTCTGTAAGGGTGCGGACCCAATTGTGTGGGTCCGCCCCCGGAGCCGGATGGATCCGGAAGGATTCCAGAAGGCTCTGGGGGAGTTTCCGGCTGACAAGACGGGTGCTCCTGTCAAGGCTCTGTTCGAACTGTGGAACGGGGAGATGACCAGGGCTGTAGACACGATCGCTCCTAAGCACCCTCTCCCACCGGGCAGAGCCCACTCTTCCCCTTGGTATACTCCTGAACTGAGGGCGATGAAGCAGGTTGGGAGACGGCTAGAGCGTAGGTGGAGGAAATCACGGGATGAATCTGACCAAACACACTTAAGAGCCCACTATCGGGCCTATGCTGTGGCGGTGAGGGCGGCGAAAAAGAGATTTTTTTCTGCTTCCACTGCCTCATCACAATGTCATCTGGCAGAGCTCTTTTGAGTGGTGCAAGGCCTGGTCCGTCCAGGTCCGAAAGAAGATCTGATTCCACCCTCAAAGGCCCGCTGTGACGACTTTGCCAGGCATTTCAGGGAGAAAATCGCTCAGATTCGTCGCGAGCTGGATTCCACTATTGAGTCAGAGGTCTTAAGGGAGACACCGATGCTACCGTCTGGTCCAGAATTATTGGATGAATTTCAGTTACTGCAGCCTGATGATGTGGACAAGGTGCTTGGACGAGTACGTCCCACCACTTGCCTTTTGGACCCTTGCCCGTCTTGGTTAATAAAGGATTCCAAGCACGGGATTGGGACCTGGATCTTGGAAGTGGTTAACGCTTCTCTGAGGGAGGGTCGGGTGCCTGCCCTTTTAAAGGAGGCGGTAATACGACCGGTCCTGAAGAAGGCGTCACTGGATCCAGAGATGGCCACTAATTATAGACCAGTGGCCAACATCCCGTTTCTGGGCAAGGTGTTAGAGCGAGTGGTGGCGGGACAACTCCAAGCACTCTTGGATGAAACTGATTATCTGGACCCATTTCAATCCGGCTTCAGACCCGGGTACGGTACTGAATCTGCCTTGGTCACCCTGTACGATGACCTGTGCAGGGAGAAGGACAGGGGGAGTGCGTCCCTGTTGGTTCTCCTGGACCTCTCGGCGGCTTTCGATACCATCGACCATGGTATCCTTCTGGATAGGCTTGCGGGATTGGGGGTCAGAGGCACTGCTTTGCAGTGGTTCTGCTCCTATCTCAATGGCCCATTCCAGAAGGTGGTGCTGGGAGACTATGGCTCTGCGCCATGGCAGCTATGCCATGGAGTACTGCAGGGGTCCATTTTGTCCCCCTTGCTGTTTAACATCTACATGAAACAGCTGGGAGAGGTCATCAGGAGGTGTGGGCTGCGGAATCACCAGTACGCTGACGATACCCAGCTCTACCTCTCGTTTTCCACCAATCCAGGTGAGGCAGTGGCTGTACTGAACCGGTGCCTGGCCGAGGTAATGGGCTGGATAAGGGCCAATAAACTGAAGCTCAATCCAGACAAGACAGAGGTCCTGTTGGTAGGCGGTTCAGGCTTCGGAGAAGGTGAATTGAACCTTGTCCTGAACGGGGTTGCACTCCCTCCTAGGGATAAGGTCCGCAGCTTGGGAGTGCTCCTCGACCCGGAGCTTTCACTCGAAGCTCAGGTAACAGGAGCGGCGAGGAGCGCTTTCCTCCAGCTTCGGCTGATTCATCAGCTGCTCCCCTATCTGGAGTACGACTGCCTCGCAACAGTGACTCATGCACTGGTGACTTCCCGTCTTGACTTCTGTAATGCGCTCTACGTGGGGCTACCCTTGAAAACGGTCCAGATACTTCAATTGGTTCAAAATAGAGCTGCCAGGCTGCTGACGGGAACTGGACGTTATGTTCACATGACTCCAGTTCTCCAGCAGCTTCACTGGCTGCCCATTGAAGTCCGGGCCCAATTCAAGGTGTTGGTGATGACCTATAAAGCCCTAAACGGCTTGGATCCTGGTTACCTGAAGGAGCGCTTACGTCCATATATGCCCAGCCGCCCCCTGAGATCAGCGGGAGAGGCCCTCCTCCGGGAGCCCTCAGTGAAGGAAATTAGGAGGGTGGTTACTCGGAGGAGGGCTTTCTCAGCAGTGGCGCCTAAGTTATGGAATGCGCTCCCCAGAGAGGTCCGCCTGGCGCCGTCGTTATTTGTTTTTCGGCATCAGGCAAAGACCTTTTTATTTAAGCAGCATTTTAAATGTTAATATTATTGAATTTTATTTGGCCAGGGCGGCTTATTTTATTCTACTGTATATATTTTAATTGTTATTGTTTTAATTTATTGTGTATTTTATTCGATGTTGTGAGCCGCCCCGAGGCTTCGGCAAGGGGCGGCATAGAAATGTTTTAATAAATAAATAAATAAATAATGGTGATGGGCAGAGAAACTCCTGAAGGGTAGCTACTGGGCAGTACCAGAAGTTGAAGGTGACACTTCACAGGTAACAACAGTGACACTCTTAACTCTGGTTAGTATTGTGCAGAAGACAATAATTGTAAATTGCTTCTGTATATTTTTTACCTTTCAAACCCTGTAATAAAGCTATCCAAAATGAAATGAGAGCACACTTAAACACAAAATGTATTGATTTATCTGAAATTATGCTTTGGGCATGTTTAAGGGTAGAACTCTCTCAAAGCAGCATAGAAGTTTTCTTTCAAGCATTCAAAACAAATATAGACCTTGCCTCAATAAGTATGCATTCGATAAAGAAAGAGTTACCAATAAAACTAGCAGTCCAAGATAAGGCAATCAAAAAGAAGTGGGATTTCAAAACTTTCCTGAAGACCTGGAAGGAAGAGGCCTGAGGAAGCCCTTTCTCAGGACTCTTTCTGACCAGTATCAGTCTCGCTTAAGTCACTGAACATTACAGTGCGTCTCCTTCTTTTTACAGATGCCAAAGTTGTTAATAAATCCACTTTGCTCTAACTGTCATGACTATTCTCAACTAAAAAGGTTATGATAAGAAAAAATGAGGCACCATGCCATTAAAAACTTACCAGGCAGTTGAACTTGGAAAAGACATCAGTGGTGGATTTAAAGCTTCTCCTTTTAATGCATGTACTGCCTGTGATGTTTGAGCTGTAGGCTGAGGCTGTACTTGTCTTGGGTCCTGAGCAGGCTTAATCCACCGGCTTGGTTCCGGTTTCATCCATTTCCCCTGAATTCCCCATCTTGCTAGGTAAAGTTTGCAAATATCATAGTTCATTGAGGAATAATACAAAAGGTCCAATATCAGCAAGACCACAACAAAAAACCCATAGATCCATACACCTAACAGTGCACTGTAATTGCTGCAAAGAAAGGACAAAACAAATGTTAACATCAATCTATTGCTTTTGCCATTCTGACATGTAATATTTCAAAATATGAATAAACACATCTATCTGCTAAATATATATCTGTATTTACTTCAGAAAGTTCACATGGGCTTCTATGGGGAATCCAATGGCTTTCATCCAATGCTAGTCCTGCTTAGAATAGACCAACTGAAATGAATCAGACATAAGTTGGGCAACCACTGGATTCAACCCAATATACAAATCCGCTTAGCAGATGATCTGTACCAGGTGATTCCAAGTCCTATAACTGTGGTACATCTTGCCATGGGCTCTATCTAATGGATGGCTATGAGTCAGACAAAAGTACAAACTTTCTGCTTCTGGCAGGACGTTTTGGGTTTTGGTGGAAGTGTAAAAAGCTGGACTTGCCTACCACAGGCAAAGTTGAGTCTACAGTGAGAGCTGAATGTCTCTGAAATGGTACATCTGTGCAAAGTGTGGCTGATGATCCTGCATACACAAGGAAAGCTGAACTATGAGATCAGCAGAGCCATGTGTTACAATTTTGCTGGACTGGAACAACTGAAGATTGCAGGTGGGGGGAGTAACATGTTAGAATACATCTAAGAAATGCAAGAACATTCAGAAAAGACTAAAGAAAATTAGTATCTCACAGAGAATTCTCTCCTTGATGTGTACTTTTCTTTGTGCTGGAGGTTTCTTTTCCTTTTTCAAACCCTCAGTAAAGCCATAGCTTAGCCCAGTAAGAACTACACCATAAGATTCTGCTGACAGTGTAGCTGAGCTCTAGGAAAACACAGGTACTACCAATTACTTGCTCTGGTCTTGCTTTCAAGTTGCTGAGGGCTGCATCTTTAAGCGTGGGACTGACTTAAAGGAACACAGTGTGCTGTAAACAAGAACAGTATGAAGCTGGGAGTTTAGGAGTTGTGGTACCAGCTTGGAAACGAAAAGCCTTTCTCTTCCATATTGTGCATCTGTCAATGCTTTGCCAACCTATCACATTATGCAATTATGATCACAGCCTGATTCATTTCTATGCTACCCTTTGCTGTCCAGAATGTTACACAAATTACCCTTGATGTGAAGAGAAAGGGGGAGGGAAAGCATTGGAGTAAATTTTATTACTCCAGTAAGTAGGGAAATTAAGATACAAAAAACCTCTTTGAGACTTAAAAAAAACCCCTTTCATTAAAGCTTTTAAGTGATTTTCCCTCTTTTGAAACTGATGGGTTGATTTCCCTTTCACTAGTTGTGTAGCACCAAGTTGCTGTCAGAACAGAATATGATGCTACTGAGTAAATTTTAGCCAGAAGGGGATTATGATAAATGTTTTTACATAGCAAAAAATACGTTTATCAGTGGAGATTTGCTTAGTTGTTCAATAAACTCTTCAGTTACACATGAGAAAGGAACTGAACAATCTTCTTGAAGGCTTGCTGAGCCATGAAGTTTGTGGTTGAGGAGAACATGGACTGCCACATCCCAAGCAGCTCTGCAGCAGGTGGCTGAAGTGGCAGCAATTTGCACCTGCTCTTTGGGCATTCACCCAGGACCTTAAAAATGGGGGCACTCACACCAATCCAAGCACAGTGCTGGCAGATGCAGAGTAAGGCTCAAACCATGATGCCTCTTGTAGTGCCTTAAGGTCTTAAGACATGTATTGCACCATATGCTTGAGTAGATTACACAGCTACCCCTCCAAGAAGAGTTGGATTAGTAATTCTTAAACACTGACCTAAGTGGAACTGCCAAATAAAGGTTGCATTTAGTGGGTAGTGTTTTTGTGCCACCACCACCAAGGAAGAAACCAGACTATTATGTACTAAATAATATTTATCCCACCACTAGGCAAGCTTTGCTTTTCCTAGGTTGTCAACATGCTTCATATGCATTATCAGAGAATTCTGGAAAGCCATTACACCCACATCATCGATGGCTGTCTACAGACATTCAAAAAGAAACTGGACAGCCATCTGAGTGGGATGGTGTAAACTGGTGTCCTGCAACAGCAGGAGTTGGACCTGATGGCCTTAATGGCCCCTTCCAACTCTACTATTCTGATTCTATGACTTGAGGCTGACTAACACTCATTTGCCTAAGGCTGCTAGTGAGTTTGAGCATGAGGTGTAACTTGTTTTGGGGCTGCACTGGCTCGCAGCCCTTCCACTGCACTGCTACACAACAGTAGCTCTTAAAAGCATTGTTGTTGTTGCTAGTCGCAAAGTCATGTCCAACCCATTGCGACCCCATGGACAACATTCATCCAGGCCTTCCTGACCTCCACCATTCCCCAGAATCCACTTAAGCTCACACCAACTGCTTCAATGACTCTATCTAGCCACCTCATTTTCTGCAATCCCCTTCTTCTTTTGCTGTCCCCTTCTTCTTCTCCAGGGAGTCCTTCCTTCTCATTAGGTGGCCAAAGTATTTGAGTTTCATCTTCAGGATCTGGCCTTCTACAGAGCAGTCAGGGTTGATCTCCTCTAGGACTGACCGGTTTGAACGCCTTGCAGTCCAAGGGACTCGGAGTCTCCTCCAGCACCACAATTCAAAGGCCTCAATTCTTTGGCGCTCAGCCTTCCTTATGGTCCAACTTTCACAGCCATACATTGCAACTAGGAAAACTGTAGCCTTGACTATATGCACTTTTGTTGGCAGGGTAATGTCTCTGCTTTTTAGTATGCTGTCTAGATTTGCCATAGCTTTCTTCCCAAGTAGCAAGCGTCTTTTAATGTCTTGGCTGCAGTCACCATCTGCAGTGATAAACCAGCCCAAATCCTTGATGAGCAGGGTAGTAAATAAGTGACAGCAAGCATCAAGTGCTCCCTCTAGCTCTAGACCGAGTGGCTTCCCTCTGCCCTCATGGCCAATGTGTCAGGAATTGTGCTGGCCATGGCTCTGAGGCTGCAGGAGCTTTCATCTTAGAGTTGGGCTGTTGTGGGTGTTAGGGGAATGAGAAGGGGAGGAGGTGGGTGCTGCCAGCAAACATGGCATCCTGGTAGCGCCCCAGCCTTGTCTCCTTGCACTCCAGTGAAGCAGTGAGATGGTTGATTCCCACCATCTAAGTGTTTAACAGTGTAAGAGAAGTGCAGTGGTGACTTTTCTTCCTCCATAGGATGCAAAGAACCTGCAAATTCTGAGCATTACAGGTAGCTGCAATGTACTGTGCTATGTTTCGGCAAAGCCTTGTGCCACTAAAGAATAGCAAAACATAATACAGCATTCTGGCAAATTGAAAAAATGCAAAGAGCCGACTATGGTATACGACAAACAATGGGGACTTTTGTCCTCAGTATATGGATGAGATAAGGTTGCTAAGGAAGGCTAAGTGAATAACCAAATTACCACTTGTGGTATGTTTTCCCTGAAATGCTACAGCAACATTTCCTAAGGTATGTAATTTCAGTGATATATTTCTTTCTGAAATGATAATGCTATTTGGTGGCAGTGCTAAGAGACTGAACACTTTCCATGCATATCCTGCCATGTTCTCAATGGCCGATTCCAGAAGGTGATGCTGGGGGACTATGGCTCTGCGCCATGCCAGCTATGCCATGTAGTTCCGCAGGGTTCCATCTTGTCCCCCTTGCTATTTAACATCTACATGAAAACGCTGGGGGAGGTCATCAGTACATCAGGAGGTGTGGGCTGCGGAATCATCAGTACACTGATGATACCTAGCTCTACCTCTTGTTCTCTCCCAATCCAGGTGAGGCAGTGGCTGTACTGAACCAGTGCCTGGCCAAGGTAATGGGCTGGATGAGGGCCAATAAACTGAAGCTCAGTCCAGACAAGACGGAGGTCCTGTTGGTTGGCAGATCCGGCTTCGGGGAAGGGGACCTGAACTTAGTCCTGAATGGGGTTGCACTCCCTCTTAGGGACAAGGTCTGCAGCTTGGGAGTGCTCCTCGACCCAGAGCTTTCACTGGAAGCTCAGGTGACAGCGGTGGCGAGAAGCGCTTTCTTTCAGCTTCAGCTGATCCATCAGCTGCGTCCCTACCTGGAGAAAGACTGCCTGGTGACAGTGACACACGTGTTGGTGACTTCCTGACTTGACTTTTGCAACACGCTCTACGTGGGGCTGCCCTTGAAGACGGTCCAGATACTTCAATTGGTTCAAAATAGAGCTGCCAGGCTGCTGATGGGGACTGGGTGTTATGTTCACATGACTCCAGTTCTCTGTCAGCTTCACTGGCTCCCCATTGAAGTCCGGGCCCAATTCAAGGTGTTGGTTATGGCCTATAAAGCCCTTAATGGCTTGGGTCCTGGTTACCTGAAGGAGCGCCTACGTCCATATATGCCCACCCACCCCTTGAGATCAGCGGGAGAGGCCCTTCTCTGGGAGCCCTCTGTGAAGGATATTAGGAGGGTGAGTACCCGGAGGAGGGCTTTCTCTGCGGTGGCGCCCAATCTATGGAATGCGCTCCCCAGAGAGGTCTGCCTGGCACCGTCGTCGTTTTTTGGCACCAGGCAAAGACCTTTTTATTCAAACGTTATTTTAATTGTTAATATTATTTATTTATTTTATTCTTGGCCAGGTCGACTCAAACTGTATTGTTTTTATATTGTGTTTATTTATTTATTATTGTGAGCCGCCCCGAGGCTTTGGCGAATGGGGCGGCATAGAAGCCTCCTAAATAAATAAACAAAACACCTGGGCAAGGCCAAATTGCATATCTCTGACTTTCACTGTTCCATGTAGAGTCTGCTTCTCATCCACAGTTCTATAGTGCCAAGCACACCCTTTCCTATTGCAGTTTCACATCTGAAGCCTTCCCTCTTTCCTTGTGGTATACTCCGTTAAACTTAACTAAAATTAAGACTGTGGGGCAGGGGAACGCAGAGGGGTCTGTTTTCTTCAGCTCTGGGGATTAGCTTGGAAGAGTGCAATACCTAACCAATCACATTCTCCCTGGCTGAAGCTTTGGTGTGCAAGAAGAAAGAATGGTGGAGGAGCTGATATCACGTTATGCTTGTTAAGAATACAGC